ACCAATAAGAATTATTGACACCATAGCATTGCTTACTGCACTTCATCTGAGAAAAAAAAAACCGTCACTGACTGTCTCGCTTGATCAGACGAGTTACGTTCCCATCTCTTTTCGGGGAGACGTTCGAATTTGAGGCAACTACATCAACCTATGAATACAACCTGTTAGCAGGGTGTTATGCAAGCTGATGATGGTTTTATAATAGTGTTTTATTGAAGTTCGCAAGAACAACAAGCGAAACTGAAGTCTTTCTTGTCAGTTGGGACATACACAGATCTAGTTATAGGTCATTTGCATCCCTTGATGCTGGCTATGTTTCCTCGTAGCGTTAGCTCTTCAGTGAACATGGGCGAAACATTTTGCAGATTTCACTAGTGTCCAGATTGAACTCGCAATACAGTATGTGGAAAGGACGGTTTCTCTCTTGACACCGTTATTACTGTTGTATACTCCCTAGACTCCATCGATAGTTTTAAAAAGCTTTCTTTAGAATTTTAGTAACAAAAATATTTACAAGACTAGCCGAGGTACTCGCCTGCAATTGTATAACCGTACCTCCACTGTATACCCGAACCCCCTATATAGAAATGTCTGCCTGCATCCCCGCTTGCATGCATCATCCATTCGTATACTATGTTACTCCCACCTCCCTTCATCTTTTTTTAATAAAGGAATTCCATCGATAAAACCTTGTGTGATCGTTGCTCGAGGTTAAATTGTTTCAATTTTTTTAGATATTCAGTAAATTTCTTATGGCCGTAATAACTTTAAAATAGTATGACATTTTTCACAAATCTAATAATTAAACAAAAACAGGGATGAAGCGTCAGAGCTTGATTCAACTGCAAACGCATAAACGCCACCCTCCTTCTTCGCACATTCACTGTAAAGCTGGGGTTAATAAGAGGTTCTTCGGGGATTTTTTCATTTTAACGCTTCAATAATCCTTCTCAAACAACCTTTCATCAAATGTTGTTTGAATGCCAATTTAAGATGGAATCATATGAAGAAACTATTGGTTAAATGGCAAAAGCCGATTTTTGGGACCTAGTTTGTCGCAGATTTCGTCCGCTTAACTAAAATAATCTAAACCAAACATTGGCGCATATGTGTCATAAGTAATTTACATGGCAAAGTTGGAAAGTATTAGATGAAAAAAAACATTGAGTTAGGAACGAACAGTTTTTCGTGGTTTTTCGTTATACGCGGGGAAGTGAACAGGGCTAAAAATCTTATTTCTGATTTATTTCTGATGGCAAAGTTTTTGCGACATGTTTGAAGAAAACCGGATAAAAAATGAGGAAGTTATTCAAGATTTTATTTTAAGTAGTAGCAAAAACCTGATTTTTTCACGGCTTTTTTGCAATTTTTTGTGCGAAGCCAATGTCACAGCAAAACTATCACTCAACTTAAACTTCGTAACATGAGCTGATGTTTTGCATTAAGTGCAAAGAACATCAACTCATCCAGTAAAATTTTTGTTCGCGTATAACTTTGCCTTGGTTTTTTGCAAAAAGTCGTACCCACCTTAAGTTTTATCGATTTTTTCTGCCAAACCCGAGATGCCTGGAGATTGAAAAGTTAGTCTTGACCTTTGTTGATAAATTTGCAACATGTGTGTACAATTTCATCGAAATCGCCCGAGAAATGTGGATGTGTATAAATAGCATACACAGAAACACAGCGACACGCAGACATCATCTGTTTTATAGATATAGATTATAAGAATATAAGAATATTCGAACTGATTGGCAATTAGCCGTTGTTTAGCTTATCATTCAAAAGAAAATTTGCCAGCTTCGCTAATTGTTTTGGTCAAGGTGTTTAATGTCCATTATTCATTGAATCACTTGGTTGACAATAAATAATCTATATGCAGATTTTCTAGGCATGGTTCAGGCAAACTTTTAGAAAAATTGAAAACGATTTTAAAATTTCAATTTAGTAGGAAGAAGCTAATATATATATATATATATATATATATATATATATATATATAAAATCTATAAAGTTTCAAGCCATGGATTTTTTCTATTGATTATCCTTGATCCTAGATCAGGGTTATAAACAAATAAATTGGAGAATTAAAACAAGAAATGCTCTGGGATGTAAAATAATCTGAGTAGAAAATGTCTAATGATATTCGAAAAACTTATTTGTTTAAAATTTCTTGTTCTATAGTCCACAGACGTTTTTTTAAAACTATAAATTTTGCCAATCCCGGTTAAATAGACACCAAGGCTATTTTGCCGGTAAATATAATGTTTTAGAACTTATCGTCACGGCAGTGGTCGTGTGATCTGTGTAAGCAGGACTTGAACAACATGGATTCTGTGGTCTGTGACTGTTGTCTTCGGTGGGTGCACATGAAGTGTACTTGGAAAGAGAAAAAAAGGTTTCGATTTGTAGACACTGTAATGCCTCAAATACTTAAAATATTCAGAAATTTCTGTATTTCTTCTAATAATTGATGATGAATAACTTAAATGATGATTTTAATTTGTGCTTTAACAATTGATGGTGAAAAATATTTTAAATTCTCTTAACAATTGATGGTGAAAATAAATACACTTCTGGTAAATCTGCGTGTTGTTATTTTTAACATTACCTGCCTTCATAATAATAAAAAAATACTTACTGGCAAAATTTTAATTTTTCATACAGTTATTTAGAAATTTTCATTTTTATTGATAAGTTTGAGATTTTTATCTTAATTTTTTCCTTTTTGTTTTTCTTTAAATCCTTCCAATAACAACGCAATTATGGACAACTGTGAAACATCGCAGGATAGAAATAACCAAACAAAAAGTCCAGACTTGATGGATGGAATGGCCGGCTATACTCGTATCCTAGGATACCTGTCTACTAGGGCGGCTAGCTGATTGCAGACGCCTGCTCAGGCACATTTGTGTTTGTTCAACACCCACAGAGCAACTATGCTGGGCGGACCTTAGTTACACTTTCTAGGAGAGAGCGCGTTATCTAACGTGATCAACAGTCAAACGCTTGGTCACGATGACTTATGACTCCGTGCTAGCACAACCATTGACGACTCCCAAAGGTTCCGCCTACCAAATTTCATTTGATTTCCAGGCACTTTGCAAAGGTGCTGCATGTTGAGATCGCCTCCTCCAGAGGGATAACATCAATTCCTGACAAATCGACCATAGTGAGATTCGAAACCGGCTCAGAAAGCAACCACTTGATACCACGTAACGGTCATTATTAGATTGCTGTCATTTCTTTTCTTTTTTGCACTTCAATTTATTATTTACACCATAATCGGACTGTTGTCCTCTTTCTTGTTGTTATCACAGCGTTTCGGCCGTTGTGCCTTCCGGCCTTCATCGTGTGATAACAGCAACACAGATGAAGTCAATAGTCCGAGAATAAATAGTATAAATAATAACTCCTCATCCCAGAAATTCAGACACTTCAATTTATATCTAAAAATAGATTAAGAGAAGATTGTAAGCGTCAGTGGTAGGGAACTTAAAATCTTGTCACAAGACATTCTCTGACCCCTAATTTAAATAAAAGTCTCTTTAAAGATCAAGAGATTATATGCCACAGCGAAAATTAAGAATATGCCCAATCCAAAATATTGGATATCGTGTACTTTTTTTTAAAAATTAAAATGATAATTTGTCTGTCGTTGATTAACAAGTTACTGAGAATTAATATTTATTAAAATCAAGATTCTCTTTTCTTTTTTACTTCACCCAATAGATGACCCAAGTGCCACTCAAGGTAGAGGGTTACTGTGTGGGCTTGTTGTAAAGGAGGTAAAAGATGGAAGCCAGAAGTGCATATTATGAAGATATGTAGAATAGATATCAGTTTACCTTGAAGAGGTTAAGATTGTAGTGGTCATGGAAGCATCCCCTCGGGAGGCTGTTCAACAATGTAACAGTTCTGAGAAAGAAGCTGTCTGAGTGGGAATACTCCGGGGCTAAATTAAAAATATTACTTTATTTCTCGAAATCAACTTTAACAAATTTCATTTTATTAATGGTGACAAACTAGTTATGTTATATAAAAAAAAAAAAAAATCGATTTTCTTCTCTTTAGAATTCTAAATCAACTGGCTATAAGTTTAAATGTTAATTTAATTCATTAACAACAAATTATTAACTCGCACAATATTTCTTACACAAAATAGATTTTGTCTGCTATAATTTCAGACGACGTTCATAGCTTCCGGTCCCCAAACATACACTTCACAACCTGTTGACTCAGACAAAAGTAAACGCAATCTTTATCGCTATCTTAATCAACAATAATCCCTTCCTAACTCCACTTAAACTGTCTGGAAAAAATAATCACCCGTTCGTTATAGCTGTTGCCCAAACAAACAAGTGTGTCGTCTTTTTGCCGATACATCAGCCACTCATTTATATAAAAAGGAGCGCGCGCCTAACGCATTGAACATGTAGTCGGCAATGAATGCACTTGATTCCAATTTTGCCTTAAAGCATCAGTTTTTAAAGGAGGGCTTCTCAAATATATTTGTCGTAATTTTGATTATATTCCATTTCTCCCAGAGAAATTTGGGTTTATTTTCAAGAGTTACTTTGTGTTTTTAGTTATTTGAATTTCATTTTTAATAATTTTATTAAATTTTCGCTGAATGAGAAGCGACTCAAAAGAACAGCAATCAATGTGAAATTCACTCGTGTCGTAGAATCAGCCATCTTCGATTCCTGAGAACTGATACAGCAATAGTTTTTTTTATAAAGGAAGCCACTGAACAAATCTCTTCAATTTGAATCCTACAAATCATAACTCTGTCAAAGATGAAAACATATTTTAAAACAGAATTTTGTCCTTCCTCAATCTCAACTCAGCTACCAATTTTACTTTTATGGTTATTAACGTACTTGATTTTTAATAACCTGGTTGGGTTAAAAGCGTCGCCTTCACATATCCCCTACCCAGCAAATGACAAGAATGCATCTCATCCCACATCTGTAACAATCTCAAGTAATGGCGAAGAAGATATGACCAAGGCGATACTCGACGAACTGCAACGGGAAGGACATGCTACAAAGAAAGATATCACACCATCGAAGAAGTTCATGATTGATTTGTTCAGTAGCCTCCGACGAGACGAAATCTTGCAAAATAAATCCGAACGACTTTCACCTCAAACCCACATTCACCACTCGGACACGGTGCGAAGTTTCTCTGCCAAAGGTAAGATAACTTTCAAATCTGTTATTGCATTCGTTTGTAATTTTACAGCCACTGACACTCTACATGTTTCAGACAAGTATCCGTAAGGGTTGCCCGATTTTTTTTTTTTTAATTGGACTTCCCTACCTGAAAATCAGCTCTGAATTGTAACATACAAAACTCAATAAAACAAAGATATTATTTAATTTCAAATGCTTTTATTTGCTTTTAGTCGTCTTTATGAATATGGACAATATTTTCTGAAAGCAAAAAAAAAATTTCGATGAAAAATGAATTTTTAATACAATTATTTGTTATTTCTTAATTATAATAGATTTTTACATTTAAGTTGTTAACTAGTTATAAAATTAGTTAAAAGCCGCATCGGGTTTCCTAAGTGTCCTATATTTTTTTTAGCGCGTTGTATGATTTTGACTATTCAGAACATCCGCAGTAATTAAGAAATGTAATTTTGTGTTTATAATCGGGCTGTAATTATAAAGTACGGAAGACCTACCAGAATACAATTAAGTTGCTTTATTTAAGGTTAAGCATTGTTCTCCGCTGTTAAGGCCTTTACTTTTGCGAAACACGTGTGGAGAAGTGAATTTGATTTTTCAATTTCAACTGAGAAGGGTACCTACAAGTACCAGTATCATCTTATGAAATTTATAAGATCTTATTTTTATATTAATATCAGTTATGACATTTTCCCATAAATGAAATATCAAAATTAATAAATTTTATTATTAATTTTGATATTTCATTTATGGAAAAATTTTAGAATGGAAATACAAATAACACAGTAAAATGTAATAAATGTACATAAAATTATAGTATTTTATGCACACTTCTGATAAAATTTCATAAGAAAGGTACCTATAAATTAATTAGATACCTTTCTTATGAAATATGAAATTTAATCTCACTCTTAACAGTCTTATTTTAATTTCTTTATAATATATTTTCCATAAAGCATCATAAATGTAAAGGGAAAGCTAAGTACAAAAAAAAATAGAGCGCTGAAAGTTTTCCTTAAAAATAACGAGGTAAATAATTTATTCACTTGAATGTAAATAATTTCACTTTTCTCCTTCCATAGAACAAATTATCCTCACGGAATCCGTCAATATGTCATTCATCACCTGTCAAGTGACGGGGAAGTTTATGACCTGCGTTGTTTTATTTTTCAAATTACATCTTTTCGGCGTAGAAGCTAATAAATACAAAAAAAACATTTCTACCATGACTTTAATAAAAAAAAAACATATTTATAATTTCGATCATCTGTGAATAGTTTCTGAAAGTTTTATTAACATCCGACAATTATTTTTATTTTTGCAAGATTTTCCAAATTAATGGGTGTCATACAAAAAAACGTGCTAAAAATTGTCTATGTTATTTTACTAGTTCCGGTGATACAAAGAGAAACAAGGTTTTTTTTAATCAAAATTTAGAATGTTAGAAAGAAAAATTTTTAAAAATAATTAAAATAAACTTTGATCTTTCCTCTTAATAATAACATAAGCATTTAGACGATAAAATATTGTTTTCGTCAAGTTTGGCGTCTTTTTCATCATGCTATGCTCTTTTTTAGCGATCTCATGGAGGTACCTAGCATAACATGATGAAAAAGGCGCCAAACTTGACAAAAATCAAATGTTATCGTCTAAATGTTTATATTATTATTAAGAGGAAAGAACAAAGTATTTTTTAATTATTTAAAAAAAAAATTTTTTCCTTCTAACTTTTGATTAAAAACACCTTTATATCAGCGGAACTACTACATAATATAAAAATTTAGCACGTTTTTTGGCATTAATTTGGAAAATCTTGCAAAAATAAAAATAATTGTTGGATGTTAATGAAACTTTCAGAAACTATTAAAAAATGATGGAATATGTTTTCTTTTTTTAAAGTCATGGCAAAAATATTTTTTGTATTTATTACAACCCGCAACTAATTTTATGAAAACTCTAGAAATTCAATAGCATTCAGTTTAATTATTATATTAGTTAAAAGCACAAGGCTATGTGAAAAGCAAATCATGTATTTTTTTAATTGGACCCCCCCACTTGAAAATCAGCTCTGAATTCTAACATAGAAAACTCAATAAAACAAAGATATTATTTAATTTCAAATGCTTTTAGTTTCTTTTAGTTGTTTTTATGAATATTGTCTGAAAGCAAAAACTTTTTCGATGAAAAATGAAATTTTAAAACAATTATTTGTTATTCATTAACTTATTTTATTATTTTTACATTAAAGTTGTTAAAAATATTTAAATTAGGGAAAACGGCATTCAGTTTAATCAATGTTGTTATTAAATAGATTTATCTTTTAGCATTATAAGTTGTGTAGCTTCTAACAATCAGAAGAGCCGAACGGTATAAAAAAAAAAAATTCCAGATGGATTTATGTCCATAAAACGGCTGTAATTCAAATGTACGGAAGACCAGCAAGAATACAATAAAAAGTCACGTTATCTGAGTTAAGCATTATTCTCCGCTGTTCGGGCCTTTATTTTTGCGAAACACTTTCGGAGAAGTTAATTTGATTTTTCAATTTCAACTGAGAAGGGTACCTACAAGTATAAGTATCATCTTATGAAATTTATATGATCTTATTTTTATATTAATCTCAGTTATGACATTTTTCCATAAATGAAATATCAAAATTAATAATAAAATGAATGCAAATACAAATAACACAGTAAGATGTAATAAATGTACATAAAATTATAGTATTTTATGTACACTTCTGATAAAATTTTATAAGAAAGGTACCTGTAAATTAATTAGATACCTTTATTATGAAATTTAATCTCACTCTCAACAGTCTTATTTTAATTTTTTTATAATATATTTTCCATAAAGCATCGTAAACGTAAAGGTGAAAACTAAGTACAAAAAAAAAATTAGAGCGCTGAAAGTTTTCCTTAAAAATAATGAGGTAAATAAGTTGGTTCACTTTAAATAATTATGTCACTTCTATACTTCCGTACGAAAACTTTTCTTCACGTAAGCTGTCAACACGTGATGAAATCATCACTCATCACCTGTCAATTGACACGAAATGTTATGACCTGCTTTGTCTTATTTTTAAACTACATCTTTTCGGCCCAAAAACTAAGTATTGCTTGCTTCAAAATATTTTAAACGAACTTTATAATTTCTAATTTTCTTAAAATAAATTTTGAAAAAATTATAATTAATTTTCGAAAGAATTTGAAATTGAGATTATCATTTTTTTAAAAAAGAAAATGGAGAAAAATGATTGACATGATTGATTATCTGTCAATTTTTCTGACTAAAAAAAACAAGATTTTTAACGAAAGTTTCGGACGTGCTACGAACGATTAAAAATGTAAAAAAAATACCCCGAAAATACTATGATCTTTCCTCTTAATAATAACATAAACATTTAAACAATAAAAAATTGTTTTCATCAAGTTTAAGGCACTTTTTATTCATGCTATGCCTTTTTTTTTACTCGGAGGTACCTAAATACCTGTAGTGTAAGACGATTGCTTATTGATTATATAAAGATGATGTTATTGGAAATGTTGTTATTTAGTGTATCCTTAAAAATTCTAATTAAACGAAATAACAAAACCAATTCTATATCATGTTTTTCCTACCCACGTCTCCTATAGGAGGACTGATATTATGTAAAAGTTTAGTACTCTTTTCTTTGTTTCTAATGAAATTTTTCTGTTTCTTAATACTTTGCTTAGCTTTTGGAAGACATCTTTGTTTATCCCAGTAAATCTTTGGATTTCATTGTCCCACTTTTTATCCTTTGTTAAAATACTTCCCAGATATTTAAATTGTTGTACTTGTTTGATTTTGTTATTCCCGATTTGTAATTTGAATGTTAGGCTGTTCCTTTTATTCTGTGACGTACCTTAGCATTGTTTTTGTTTCTTTTTCATAATGTCGACAATTTTATCTATCATCCATTCTTTCTTTCTTTGTCTATTATTCTTTGGAATGATCTCGATTGCTGATGAAACTAAAGCTTCTCTTAATGTGTCCCACTTCCAGTTTTCATTTTTATTTTGTCCTTCGTATCTGCTTTTCCCATTGTTCATATATATATATATATATATATATATATATCCTTGAATTTTCAGGTCATTCAAGAGTCTGTCGTATTGCAATATGGGGACTGCCTTAGCATTTTTCAATTTCCATAGTTTACATATCACAGTAAGGTGATCGCTTCGGCACTTAGGTATGTTTTGCAATGTAAAATTGTATTATCTCTTATTGATACTTATATAGTCGATTTGTTTTTTTGTTTCTCCTCGCGGTTTGGTTTACGGCATATCAACCTCTAATGGGTTATTTAATGCCGACAAGATTTTTATTGCTGGTAATATTTTCTCCAGAAATGTATTGCTGGTAATATTTTTTTTCCTTCAAAAATGTATTGCTGATAATATTTTTTCCTCGGAAATGTATTGCTGATAATAATGTATTGCTGGTAATAATTTTTCCTCAAAAGATTTATTGTTGGTATTAAAACCTATTTTTACACTTTCATAGTGTTTTGACCCCAATTTGGTGGTTAACTATTTGCCCATAGCTGGAACCCTAACCGGCGCTACCACCCCGTGTCATGGTGAACCTGGGAACACCAGCAATTAAGAGGTGGTTCCACGCTCCTCAAAATTTACTGATCAGAGGCGTTGCTGCTGGACGTAGTTTATCGTCTTACCCAGGACTACTACCTGGTCATTCGCCATACACCATTGGATCCATTTTTCTCCGCGTTCATTACAAGTTCCTAGTTTATTAACTATTTCACTTTCCCTCTCATTGTCTACTTTGGCATTCAGGTCTCCCAAGACAATTATAATTTTTTACGATTTATATTGAGTTTTGGCGTTGTCTAGCGTAGAGTAGAACTTTTCAATTTCTTCTTCTGTACTTTGTGTTGTCGGTACATAAACAACTATGATTGATATTTTGAAAGGCTTTCCTTTCAACGACAAGAATTCTTTCTGATATTTGCCAGTATCCCAGAAGGCATTTCTTTATGTCTTGATCTACTATCAGTCCATTTCATTTTCATTTTTCTCTCCGCTTGCATATATAATCCTGTATTTGTCACTGACAAAATCTCCATTGTTTGCCAACTTCATTTCACATACGCCTAAAATATTAACATTTAACCTACTCACTTTCCTGCTTTATATTTTTCTAAACATTGTTCTATGTTTTAAGAATTAGATTTTGTTAGATGTGAACAGTCGCTCGATGACGGTCAGGTGAAACCTGTTGCAAATGTCACTCCTTACCGTGCGAGGAGTTAACCCTTTTCATGCCGTTAGCTTTCATAAAGTAAAAATGTATATTTAATAATTTATTTCTTTTGGTGATAGTCCGACAGGAGTACAAATATCACCCGCACTCTCCTAGTGTATTTCTCTTTTCTTTCTTTCTTTCTTTCTTTCTTTCTTTCTTTCTTTCTTTCACACACACACAGATATATATATATATGTGTGTGTGTGTGTGTGTAGGCAAATATTTGTGTATATTACAGAAATTTGTTGCTAGATAGAAAAATAGGATAATGATCGAACAATAATTTCACAAATTAAAAGAAGGCTTTAAAATTTTAAAAAACTACCCTATCTGCGCCCGAACACCGATTTCTGGCATCTAAACGAACTTATTGTAATCACAAAAGTAGGCAGATGTCGGTTGTAAGAAAGCTTTATTCAACAGACGATACAAGTTTCGCGCATAGTGTCCTTTTATAGTCCCTGTAAAGAGAAATAGCTCTCTCAAAGAGGAGAGTAACGGGATAAGGGGAGACCACTCTTGATTATTTATAAAACTTATCTACCTCGGTATTTCAACAGTGTTTTTTTATAAACAATGTAGGAAAATTTTCGAATATAAAATGTGCTTACTGCCTGAGTTCTTATATTTTATATGCTATTTCAGTTTTCCTTAATTTCGATTTCTTTCCAATTTGCAGTTCCTTTGTCGGCTAGGCAACGTCGTCGCAATCGACTTTTCTACGAATTCTTCATCCCTGTCCTTCCGGAACACGAACGGACTCATGTGGTGGAATTCCGTGTTCTTAATTCCAACGCAACGCCTACAACGTCCCCATTATCAGGTGACATTCCATTAGCGACTAGCAACCGGCGTGACCGTCGCTCTTGGGCTGTGGTCGTTAAAAAGAACGGCATTCGCATCTACAAAGGTACCAGAAGGTACCGACCTATTAAAGATGGCATGTATGATGTATTCGATGTTACCGAAGCAGTAGCTTCATATCTAAACGAAAATCGGGGAAATTTGATCATCGTTATTAAAGAACGATCCCGTGATGAAAACGATGACGACGACGACGATGATGATAGCAAGGAGGGCCACGATTCATCTGATAAAGTCAATTGTGCCAGTCCAGGAAACGGATTATTGGTTCTTTATTCCCGTAACAGTCATTTCTTTCATGACATATATCAGCGATTCACAACTGGGTCCTCTCCTGTCATCGCTGAGCATCGTCAACGCCGACATTCACAGATGAACGGAGCACAGCGTCGACGCCAGCGTCCGAGACAAAGAGAAAAATCTAGAAAGAATAAAAAAACAACCGAAAAAGATAGCAAGCAAATAAAACGAAACAAAACTAAATTAGACGAGATCCCGTGTGGACGCTACGATTACACAATTGATTTTGACGTTATTGGCTGGGGTAAATGGATTGTGGCGCCGAAGAAATTTAATGCCTATTTGTGTTCAGGGAGTTGTGCGTTTCATATAGATGTCCAACATAACTCATCCAACCACGCCATGTTACAAAGCCTAATGAGGCTAAAACAACCGGACGTCACTCCACTACCTTGTTGTGTCCCTACAAAACTACGACCAATCAGCATGATGTACTTTGAAATGGGAGAGATCGTCGTCCGAAAACACCAGGATGTCATAGCTGAAAAATGTGGGTGTCGATGAAAAGACTGCGAAACTATTAGAAAATCACCCTCCTTTCTTCTCAGCCTTCTCAAGATTATTATCATTTCATAAAATTTGCTTTTTTGAAAACTCATTGATCTTTTACGCCAGTCATAATTGTTGGCCTGTACCAGTGTTTCTCAACCATTTTTAATTCAGGTCGCACTTGTAGAATAACTAAAACTCTAGGATGCACTTTAAATTTTAATAAGGAAAATTAAGTTACAAAAATAATAAAGAAGTCTCCTAAAATAAGTATTTATTTTTGACATTACACCGTTGACGCATATTTAAGCGGTAGAGTTTTCATTTTTAAATGGGTTTATGAAAAATCTGCTATTTTTCTTTTTAGAGAGACCAAAAATGACTGATTTAAATCCGTAGAGGAAGGTAAAAAGGAAAGGATTATCCACTCTTCCTTAAAGATTAAGGAATTTACCATCCAGTTTAAAATATAAAATAACAAAGATTGACTTAGACATGGAAGCCATGCGCTTGATATCTCTAACTTTTTAAAAATAAAGATTTTTTTAGATATAAAAATAATTAATAAATTATTCTTCTGTTAATTTGGGGCTCATCTGGTTACCTTTCAGGGCGCACCGGTTGAGAAACGCTGATCTACACTGTGAATTGAGTGACAACAAGTCTCCTCAATGCACTCTTCTCAATATTCCAGCTGTTTTAAAAAATGTCATTGTTCTGATTGTTCAATTTCTTCCCCCAGCTTCTTTGACACTGATTCCAGCATTACGGACGTTGATGCCTTTTTGATGGGGCCAAACCACTAGAACTTTTACCTATTGTCATTTCTATTGAAGAATCTGTTTTTTCAGTGAAGAAAATCTGTCACAAATATATGTCACTGTAAGTAATCTGCAATAACCTGATAAATATTCAACTAAAATCTAAGATCATTAAGAATTCTTCAAAAGCGAATTTACAGAAAATCTTACAAAATATTATACGTACTGTAAACAACAGAGTTGAGTGAAAGAATTATAGGGAAAAAGAAGAGGAGATTTGTGGGAGGAAAAGAGGGCCGAAGAAAGGCTCCAACTTCAAGTGTGCAATTAAAAGAAAGAAAATGATACTGTCATTTAAAAAACATTTAATAGCATGTCGTATTTGATCAAATGGAAGCAGATATTTCTAGTTCGATGAAGACGTCACTTTAAAAAACGAACAGAGTTTTTATTTTGCTAGACTTAAAGAATATTCTTCATAGGAGTATTATCAAAAATGCGCAGAATATATGGTCACATGATCGAGCTTTTTCCAATAATCAAAGCAAACTATTTCTTGAAATTTGGTCAGCTGATGTCAGCAAAAAAAAAAAACGTTGACAATATTGGAACGTTTTCTTGAAGATTCCAATCAAATTTTATTGAGATTAATTAACATAAAAAAGAATGAGAGTGCCAACTTCCGGTTTGATAAAAACTGTCCTTAAGCATCAGTTTACAACTTTTATTTAGCGTCTGCATGTGTAGTTATCAAAAATCTGTTTTATTTAAAACTACTTATATGTATTTTATTTACCTTTCTAAATATTAATAAAACTTTCGCAAAATCTGTTCTAGTTTTGTTTTGTGCATATTGTTTGATACGACTTATTATTTTGACATTTGTTGGGCTTTCAGGGACTGCCTTTACATGTTTGGATGTCAATAGTTGCAGCAGAAGGGTGTTTGCCGATATAGACGCACTTTGAACCAACCACCTATAAAAGGAAAAGGGGAAGAGAAGGAAACAATATCTATCACTGTTAAACTGTTGCTGCAATCTGACATATAAGGCGAGTGATATTGTCTCGGCTAGCAGTAGAAAAGGGGGGCGGTTGATATAGAATAAAAAGGTTTATTCATGTATATACATTTTCCAATAAATGTATGCATCATAACACATAAAGATTGACTGAAAAGAATTTATGTCGCAGTCTCTAATAAAATATAGTGAATGGGAAACATTTCATAAAGTCATTTTAATAAAAGGTTTAAAAGGATTTTTCTCGTGGGGGGGTGGATAGGAGAAGAGGGAACGTCACTTCTCTTATCCCTGTTTTCGGTTAGTAAAATATATATACATGTATATATACATCTCAACAATAAAATAAGACATTTATACATATATAGAAGGATTTATTTATCAGAAGAATTTGTTTGTAGGAGTTCGATAAATATATGAAAGTTCCTGTAATGTGGTTGTTAATAAATCTGTTTTTGTGTTTGCCGTCGTAAATGAATAAATTATTTGCAAGCAATAACTTTATCATAAATGGGTAATATTATACATGAGAAAGTGATATTTATGTAAAACTTATCTGTAGTTTTTATTCCTGGAGCCACTCAAATCCACGTGCTCTCTTTGTGAGAGGTCGCTGAAAAGAGGATGACTCTAAATTTCCCACCAGTAGGGCGATTTCCTTTTTCCTAGGGAATCATGGGAAATAATTTTTTTTTTTTATTATATCTTGTGATCGCGAGATTACTACAGGTTTGCACAAAAAAATTATTTTGTGCGCCTTTTTAGTAAAGGCAGATAACATCAAAATATATAAAGGCTCTTAAAAAGATTTTCAATACATTTTTCCAAAAATATGAAAGATTTTGAGAAGGTTATACAAAAACTTTAAACAAGATTGAAAATACTCTTTTAAAAAGGTACACCTGCCTAATTGAAAGATGAAAAAACAGAAGGGGTCTTTGGTACATCGACTTGTGTAACAATATTTTCTTTTTTAGAACAGTTCTACTCACAAGATTTACTTATTTTTTTTTTCTTCTATATGCTTCTTCTAAGAGAAACAAACCAGCTCATCCACAGGTGACAACCAAAAATATATTTTCCTTCTAGCTTCTTATTCTTTTGCCTTCAGGACGAAGATTTCATGTATTCTGACTTCTTTCGCTTCTTCCGGTCGAAAATCTTATTACATTCTGAAGTTATACCCAGTCTCATCTTCTTGTATAACAATCGAAGATACTCCAGACGGATCTTAATTTTAAATTTACATGGGTGTAAGCCACCCTTTTGATTGGACAAAGAGTATATATTTTTCAAATTTGAAAGGGAAATTTTGAAATAATCCGACAATTCCAAATATAGTAACTTTTACAGACCAATTTAATACATTAAATTGATATTTTTATAAACCGTCTGGCTTCCTTTTGAATATAGTTCTCCCAAAAGTAAGTGCAAAAGTCAGACTTTTTAATTGTATTGTATTACTTAGTAAAAAATAATAACGTTCATTGAAACTAATTTGGATCTTTTCATCGAGGTTATGAAATGTTCTTGAACATTTTTAATTGGTTTATTTGAATTAATTTTTAATTTTCAATCTTAACGTTTCATTTTTACGCCAATTCCTTAGCCTTTCTGGAAAGCGGATAAATGTCAAAATTGACTGTTTTTAGCATTCTAATTTGAGAGTGTTTCTGACTACATCAACAAGCCACACACACTACATTATCAATTCTAACCTGTGAACTGAATTAATATACCTCTTCCGCCTTCATTGACACAGAATGTATAAATTCATCTCTTTCCACATACTTCTATTTCATCCTCTACTGAATTCATCAAAATGTAATGCCATAGACGTCGGTAAATTTATCGCCAAGGTTTTAAAATAAGCTAGAGTAGGAACAGACCGCCTGCATACGGACAGAAAATGAATTGTATGAGTACACAATGACTGGGGGGGGGGCGTTAATTTAGGATGCGTCTTCTCATCGCAATGACTGTGAAGTGTTCCTAAAAGGATTAGACGACCTACCAAGTTTTTATTATTATTAATGGGCGCATTCTTAATAACATGATACGCAGATGACACTGCGTTGATAACAAACATAGAAAGAAAATTTCAGGAGCTCTTAGACAAGTAGTAAAGGAAAGCGGAAAGAAATGACTAAGTATCAAATGTAAGAAGACAGAATATATGGTCGTTGGCAAAAGGGGCAGCCCAAGTTACGGGCTATAAATTGGAGACGTTAAAATCAAGCAAGTACAGAAATTTAACGGTCTATGAAGTGTTATAACAGACGAAGGAAAAGGTGACCGATGGCGCCTTTGGAATAGCGAATGATGCCTTACAAAGGCTAAAAAAACCATTAAGAAACAGGAAAATGTTGTTAGAAACAAAGAAAAGAGTGCTGAAATGCTATGTTATACTAATTTTCTGTGAATGCTGAACAATGAAGAAGAGACGAGAGAGATGAGGTTCTATAAATGGATACAGAGAATATGGACAGAATATGTTAGCAATGAGGAAGTTTTAAGGAAAATAGGAACAAAGAAAGACTTGCACTTAAAATCATAAAGAGACATTTGAGATTTCTGCGACACATAATGAAAAAAGAAGGTTTGGAGAATTTAACACACACAGGACATAGTGAGAGCACGAAGAACAGAAGGAAACAGTAACTTACCTGACGAATTTGTTTAAATGAATGGCAGAACATCTCAGGTGTTATTGAAAGTACATGGGAAATAAAAACTATTCGAAAGAAAATTTTGGTAACTTTTTCGCTCAATTTTCTAAGTCTACCAAAAATTAATCCGCAAACTTGAAAGGATAACGACGAAAACTAA